TGATTGGCCGAATTTAGGAGTTCAGGCTGACGTAGAACTAACTGGCCTGCAGAAGATAATGGAAAAAAAAAACAGATTTTAAGACAGGATTTTTTTAAAAATACAAATGTTTTAAATATTGGGACAATATGATCTGATTGGTAGAATTCCCTTATGACAGAAAGAAGGCCACGATTCTCAACATTTTATCATCCGGAGGGGGGACACATTTAATTACAAAACCGAATTCATACGGCTGTCTTAAACACTTCATACATCCAGCATTGCATCGTCAAAAATTCTGTTATCCCCCAACCTTCAGTCGATTCAGGCTTGCATTTATAGTTTCCACATCGCATTACGTAACTGCACATGCACAGGAATATCACGTCGAAAGCTTACTGGAATTCACGTGGGCTGGTCTGCATCAAAGTGACTCCGACCCTCAAAGAATGTTCATACAGATGTTCTCTGTTTACGCCAAACCTCCTCGAATAAGGCATTAGGGACTTTATTATTGCTAAGACTCATACTTGAACTTCAACATGTACTGTTTTGTTGCTACGTAAGTATAGGGCCATGTGTAAGGATATATTCTGATTCTGATTTCTGATTCTGATCTGATATAAGACAATAAAACTGCTTCTACAAGTACATTTATATACATGTTTAAGCCAGAATGATTGGACATTTAAATATGATTTACCTACGACTTTAAAGAAACGTGTGCAATAGTTTGTCCGAGTGGAGTTGCCATATGTTGATGTCAAAAGAAGGGGACGGGGCCCCGAGCAGATCTGGTACCTACATCGGCTTAAACATAAAGCTTGGATTGGACGCCAACAAACCTTTAAACCGAGAAAATGGAGCCGTGTTTATGGTCCACATCAACCTGACACGCTGAGGGTCATCAGAACGTTCTGGGATGAGGTTGCGGGTAATGAGGGTCATTTTGGCGAGGAGCGTTCCAATGATTTAAGCTTAGATAAAGTCTAAAGTCTGGTTGTTACTCAGGAACGTCCTCATTGAACAGTCTGGGTTTAGATTAGTGTTGCGCCGATGCCATTTTTTGGCCCTGATACCGATACCCGATACCTGGCTGTGCAGTATCG